TATGATCAAAATTTGAACATCAATGCAATTTATTTTACATTCATATATAAATTAATTTTATTTTTATATAATAATTACATTGATGTTACGTTTGTTGCATATCGGTGTAATTATGTGTATGGTTGTTTATATCATAAAATCTGATGCGAAAGGTGACAGGTTCGAATCTCACCAAAACACCTTTTTTTTTTTATATAAATCAGTTATTATTATTATTGACACACTTGTTTTTACATGGATTATTTCAATTATAGCATAGACTGATAATTTTTCGAAATAGTTTAATTGTTAGTTGACAAACTTCTTGAGGATGATGAAATAATAGATGTTGTCTGCTAATTGAAAAAAGTTACGCTAATTTAAACGACAATCTACACTACACTAAATACTTTTATACGGATTCTTCACTTGAATTCGTATATTTCATATAAAATCAGAGATTGTGTTGTTTAATTAAACAATTAACGTTAATTTCAAAGCGAATATTCTGTACAAATTATGTTCAGTTTGCAGAACGTCAATTATAATTTAAAATTATTAATGTGAATGTTCAGTCCAGTTAACCGAATTACTTTTGCCGTCGGCGTTTGCAAATTATGCTAATGACACGTCGTTCCCCAATAAAATGCAGTATTTCGTTGTGAAAATGTAATGGATTTGAATGTGCAAGGAAATACAGAAATTTCAATTTGCAAAAAGTAACACGACTTTCGCTTAATTAAAAGTGTTTCGGTGGATTCGATATATAAAATATGTTCAATTTTTAGATTATTTTTTTAAGAAAACTAAATTTATCGCTAGTTTTAGTGTACACAAAGAAGAAGAAAAAAAGAAGTGAGAGTGTGAAACTGGTAAAATGCATGCGGTGGTATCAGTTATATTTATATATATATCACATATATGAAATGTTCATGAAAAGTTGATTGATGTGGGCATATTTTTAGTACGAGTAGTAATAATATAATAAGCAACATTCAAAGTTTGAATAGAGTCTGAGTGTGTTTAGTTGGAAAAAGTTAGAAATTGTAAATATATATATATGTAATATAATATATATGTATAGAAATCGGTCGAATACAATTTCGTCTTATAATTTGGCGATTGAAGCGTGAACGAAAGGAATTATTTTCTATATATAAAAAAAGAAGTATTGAGCATCATCATCATCATCGTCGTCGAGTGAATTGTGCCGTGAAAGAGAGATTAGTTTATTTTCATCCCCATTTTAGCGCTTCAACGTGCGCTTTTTCGCGTCCATTTCCGAGTCCTTTCAATCCGGCCATGGAAAATTAAACGCTCCACATACACACACACACACAACATCCTTCGAAACCCTTTAGCACTCAAAGGTGGATATTTAGAGAGTATATATTTACGTTTGGTGTGTGTGTGGGTGTGCGAGAATCTTGGCAACAAGTAGGTCAATTCAGAGAAGGAGTAAGGGTTTTCCTTTAAGTGAAAGGATGAAGAGTTGCTAGAAACGATTAATTGCATTTTCCAACAACTTTATTGTATTGTTAAACACCACCCCACTGCCACTACCTATCTCTCCTACCATCCCTTGGGCGGTTGTAAAATAATATTTTCGTATCCAGACGGGTTTGGGTTGTCTTTAACGTACGGTTGGTTTGCCCTCAGTCTGCGGACATCTGTGCGGGAGAACGAAGACGAGGATGAAGTTGGTGAAGAACGCGTGCAAGTGTCATCGGAATTCGGCCGTCCAGAAGTTGGTGTACGATACGCTGATCAAATCGAAGACGGACTTCGATTCGAACAAATTCAAGGACTGCTTCGAAATAGTGCTGACCGCGATAGCGGACGCTAAGCTCGTGTACAGCGGAGTGGAAAATGACAAGGACTTTTGCGTCTTTTGCCATCGACAGATTGCCAATTCCGAGAACAAAGAGAACGTCCCCGTTGCGAAGAAAAAGAAAAGGAGGAACTACAGTATTTATTCGGTTAAAGTCGATGAACAAGATGAGACGCAGAGCAGAAGGAAAAGTGTCGAATTGAAGCTGCCGCCTAAGGGAGAGCAGAAAACTAGAATTGATGATGTTCCGAAATCGAAGCCGAAGCCGAAGAGCAAGCAGCAGCAGAAGAGCGTCGCAGATGAAGCGAAGAAAGATTTCGACACTTTTTGGGTTCATCGAGACGACGAGGACGACGACTTGTTTTGGGATTACGAAGATATTTCAGAGAAGCACGAGAAGTATAATGATGATGATAATGTTTACTACGATTACATGTGCACTTCGGAGGACGACATCGAAGAAGACGACGACGAAGAGGACGAAGAAGACCTGGTGATGCCCGAATCGCTGCCCATTAAAAGTGATGCTGTACAACCATTTATGAAACTAGACACGATGGTGAGAGACTGTAAGGAAGAGATCGTTAATGCTTGGGTCTTCCTGAACAAACTCAAAAAGAGACTTTGATTTGTTCAAGTTTTATTAAATTATTATTATTGTTACTACTACAGTTTATTTAACGTTTAACGAATGTTCTTCCCGTTCTTTTTTTTTTGCATATTTTAATAAGTATCGTTTTATTTCCGTGCAAAATCCAAAGTTAAATAATAATTTTATTGTAAAATTTGAACAAAGTGATTTTTTTTTTCGATAATATTATTTGTATGTAAGATTCTAGTAAAATTTATATATTTTATATTTAAATATGTTTTTTGTAATTGCTTTAATTAAATTCTGTATAAAATTTGATGAAGAAATTGTATTATAATTATGTGTTTAAAGATTGGTTAAAAATAATTATTATTAATAATAGATTTGTTCTTAATTAAACATCGAAAACGTGTGTTGTTATTTCAAATAATTTTTAATTCGTGAAATTTTGGAGAAAAAGTCCTGTACTTTTCTTTCTTTTTGTTATCTATTTGTAAACTGAAAATTTTTATAATCTTTTTATATACAATATTAAATAAAGCTGAAGAACATTCGTTCAGATAACTTTAACGTACTTAACAATAGATTCACTAAAAAAAAAAACTTTTGTTCGTTAGTATTATTTCACGAATCCTTAATTAAGTTAATTCATAAAGTTTCTTTATCGAATTCCGTTTTAATTAATAATTAATTGGTAAAAGTGAGATCTACTTGCACATTTATTCTAAACTAAAACATTTATAATCTTTTTACCTATTTTACATGAGTTTCTTTTACGATGCAAAGAAAACTTCTTTATTTTTTTTTTTGACGACTTTATAAAGTCTGCGGTCTTAAAGGCAAAGGTTTCAGGTTTAAGGGATTTTATGAATATTACAACGAAATGTATTTTATAGATCGTAAAGTACAAGATGCTTAAACCTGTCGATGTAGACTTTATTTTTTTTGTTAGTTTTAGTAAACATTTCTTTAGCATTTTCTATTATCCAATCATATCTTAAGTATACCCTTAAATTCATGGTTTGAAGTAATGAAAATATTCACTATCTAAAAAACAATGTTTTCATATTTTAGTGATCATAGATAGAATGGATCAAAATTATGGATATTTAAGGAATTTGACAATTAATGTTTTGGTTTCATCTAGTTAGCGTTTAAATGTGAAGTAATAAAAAAATGACGCTCGACAATCATGTCTACATATATAAGTGATTTTCATAGTAACAATCATAGATAGATTGGATCTAAAAAATGTAAATGAAAGTTTGATATTTAAGGAATGTGACAATGGTTTCTTCTAGTTAGCGTACAAATATAAAGTAATAAAAAAATGACGCTCGAAAATCATGTCTTCACATATAAGTGATTTTCACAGTAACTATCATAGATAGATTGGATCTAAAAAGTGCATATGAAAGTTTGATATTTAAGGAATGTGACAATTAATGTTCTGGTTTCATCTAGTTAGCGTTGAAATATGAAGTAATAAAGAAATGACGCTCGAAAATCATGTCTACATATATAAGTGATTTTCACAGTAACTATCATAGATAGATTGGATCTAAAAAGTGCATATGAATGTTTGATATTTAAGGAATGTAACAATTAATGTTCTTGTTTCATCTAGTTAACTTACAAATATGAAGTAATAAAGAAATTACGCTCGAAAATCATGTCTTCACATATAATTGATTTTCACAGTAACTATCATAGATATCTTAGATCTAAGAAGTGCATATGAAAGTTTGATATTTAATGAATGTGACAAATAATGCTCTTGTTTCATCTAGTTGGCGTATAAATATGAAGTAATAAAGAAATGACGCTCGAAAATCATGTCTACATATATAAGTGATTTTTACAGTAACTATCATAGATAGATTGGATCTAAAAAGTGCATATGAAAGTTTGATATTTAATGAATGTGACAAATAATGCTCTGGTTTCATCTAGTTAGCGTACAAATATGAAGTACTAAAAAAAATGACTCTCAAAAATCATGTCTACACATATAAGTGATTTTCACAGCAACTATCATAGATAGCTTAGATCTAAAAAGTGCATATGAAAGTTTGATATTTATGGAATGTGACAATAAATGTTCTGGTTTCATCTAGTTAGCGTACAAATATGAAGTAATAAAGAAATGACGCTCGAAAATCATGTCTTCACATATAATTGATTTTCACAGTAACTATCATAGATAGCTTAGATCTAAAAAGTGCATATGAAAGTTTGATATTTAAGGAAGGTGACAATTAATGCTCTGATTTCATCTAGTTAGTGTACAAATATGAAGTAATAGAGAAATGACGCTCGAAAATCATGTCTTCACATATAAGTGATTTTCATAGTAACTAACATAGATAGATTGGATCTAAAAACTGCATAAGAAAGTTGACTATTTGGGAAATGCAATGTGCGTTAGATTATTACTGTGCTTTTCTCCATTTGGCTGTAATTGCTATATGAAAATTGAATGTACATATAAAATACGTAAGTGAATATCAGTTTAATGAAGATGCATTAATTATGATTTTGGGGAGGGTTTGGTATTAAACAATGAAGACTGTGTGGATGTGTGTGTGTGCAACTTACGGCCGAATTGTGAGTCCAGTAGATGCTCGGGGGTGGTTCCGGGCTGTGCTTTACAATGCAGGTCAAATTCATGGTGCTTCCTTTGTTGATGTACATTTCCGGTCCGCCCAGAAGCGTGGTCACCGGCTCTGCGAAACGAATTCATTAACAGTTAATACATAATTAATTAGTTAGATCCTTTGGTCTGTGTGTGTGTCGCGTCTCGTCTCGTCTCGTTTTGCAAATTCCTCCAACAATCCGACGACATTTACATAACGCAATTATTCTGTTTCAAACGTAGCCGGTCTTAAAATAGTTAATTAATATATAACGACAAAATTGATTGTATTTCAAAACTGCCGTGATTTCGGCTTTCACCAATAGATAGCGTTGTGTCACGATGACCTTTTACAACTCTCACTTTTACTGTACCGAAACGTGTCACAACCCAACATGTTACCCAGATGGTAATAAATGTAGGTAAAAACCATTTTTTCTTTTGTGAAAAGTGTCAAATAAATTATATGTAGATTTCGTAGTAAATTCAACACCGATTTATATCCGATTACTGTAATACTTCACACAACGGAATTAATAATTAAAAGTTGCGAAAATTTTCGCGAGTATTTACGTAAAATGATAATAATAATAATGTATGTTGAGATGAGAAAATTGGAGGAGCGCTTATTAAATGTTGCAAAGGTACTTTGAACCCGCGGCTTCTCGTAAATCATCAATAGGTGTATGAAACAATCGCGGTCCGTGTGTGTAAAACACGGGCGGCGGCGGCGCGTAATAAGATTTTCCAATTTTCCGGTGGACCCATTGAAAATTCGACGATTTTACACGCTCCATCCAGAACGCAAATGTCAACGGCAATTTAATTAAATCGTTTATTATTCAATTTTCTATAATCAGATCGCACCCAAAATCAATAAACTTTTACGTTACAGTATTTAAATTCAGTTTTTTTTTCAGTATATAGTGTATAGTTATTGATAAAATTGATAATTTGTGAAGACATTTTTCAACTTAGATAGCACAAATAGTTAATGTTAATTAGAGTGCTCATTGAAAATCGTATCTTGTATAGTTATTGACAAAATTGATAATTTGTGAAGACATTTTTTTCAACTTAGATCGTAAATTACTGGAAATTGATAATAGTTACAAAAGCACAAATAGTTAATGTTAATTGGAGTGCTCATTGACAATCGTATCTTGTATAGTTATTGAGAAAATGTATAATATAATATGAAGACAGTTATTTCTGTAAGTTATTTGAAGTTCTTGAAATTATTATCAGCACTGCAGTGTATATATAAAAATTACGAATGTAGAGCGCGTGTCTCAAACTTGCTATATTTTTTTTTTGGTGAACACCGTTTCAGCTCATGTTCCCTTTTCCTTCCTTGTTTCCTTTCCCAATTTTCCTTCTTCTCTTGGTTTCTTTACGAGTCACATCTCGAGAATAAAGAACAGAAGTAGGCCGAGCAAGAAAAAAAAAACAATCTCGTTATAATAAAATGTAATTTATAATCCGTGAGCATATCGCGTGCCCTTAAGATGCTTGAATACCAAATAGGGCCCTTTCGACCGAAACCTACCCAACTCGGAAAGCTGCGTATCTAATTTCAGATTATCGATTGATGAACCGAATTTGATCTTGAACACACATACAAAAAACATGTTTTTATTGGTAAACGTTTGTGCAATATAAAATTAAGTTGAAAATTTATATATTCATGTTCCAACTCGAGTTTAATTAATTACCATCTGCTTTCATGCACTCTTTTGTGCTGCTGGTCGTTATATTGGATACAATTGCAATTCGTAAAGTGGATATCTTGAATGTTTTATTAAATATCTTCAAGTCACAAATAAACGTCCAGATCTTTCAATTATTTTCGTATTATCAATTAAAAAATATACATTTCTTACTTATATTTAATCCTATCCAAATATTGCTTTAGAAAACAAATAAATGTTTAAGCTTATATAAAGTGGGAAATCCTGATAAAGACTATGTACATTATGTAAACTATTTAGACTATAAATCATTGGACAAACAAAGTGCGTTGTGCTACAAAAAAAAAGTATCATTTTCAAGCATTAATTATTTTTTTTGTACAACTTACTGAAGCGTTACGTTAAAGAGCTCGTAATTAGAGTAGACACATAAATTGCAATTTCGTCGATGAAAATTTATTTCGATTTCACGTTGATTAGCTCCTGAGCGAATTAAAGCGATGCAATCATTCGAAAATAAATTCATTACAAGTATATCTCGATTTATCGACAGAAAATTAAAGACTTAAAGAGCGAAGTAACAATTTTCTACAATTTCTCGATTACTATACCTGACTCAACCTAATCTAATCTAACAATTATCAACGAGTACTCTATTAAAACACAAATGTTTAGAACCTTTCAACGTGTGATATTTGTTACCGATTTCGCTGTTCGAAGTCGAAATCCAACAATCAACGTAATTGTAATTAAACGATGTATGCATTGATCCACCACAATTGATTCAATTAAGGTTACATAAAATTAGATTTGCTATAATATTAACACGAATTTGAAGCTATTCCCGATTAAAGGGGAAAAAAAATCCTCTCACATAATTACAGATTAACTAAAAGCGAAACTTTCTTTTCTTTTTTTCCCGTTCATTCCGGTATCTTAATTAGAAGGGAGAGAGGACTATCCAGAGATATTCCTGGAGGGCGTGAAAGTTTTTAATGATCCAATTCGAAATAATAGCAATCATAAACGCAATACTTTTGTTGAAGCAAAAAGAAAAATATGCAGAGAGATAGAGTCATTAAATGGGAATGGCGTTTAAAACGGTTTATTCATCTCTCTCTCTCTCACACACATACACCACTAGGTTTATTATCGTTCGGTTCGTTTTTGTATTTTCTAAATGCGGATTTTGCTGGATGAGTCCGGGATATCGCTCTCGGCTAAAGCTAATGTTTATGTTCGACCTTCAAGCTTGCCGCCTTCGCCTCTTCTCTCTCTTGCTTGCTCTTTACGCCTTATTTTCCACCAGTTTTTGGCTTCTTTATTATATATTTACTTTGCATTCTCATTCAATATTTACGTATTCCCTTCACGTTTGCGAACGAACGTTGCGAATTTTCCGAATCAACAATCCCAATCGATTGCCGTGTTTATCTTCTGATATTTAAATTCTTGCCATTTTCTCTCGTTACCCCATCACTGACAATGCATATGAAAATTGAAAATTGTTTCTCTTTCATACCAATTCTGACTGCAATTTCTCCAAAAATCATTATGAAAGTAATTTAATATTTATACAAATTAATTGAAATTGTCTACTTTCGATCATAATTAATAAGATGTAAATGAAGGGTCGCTGTAATGTGTATAATGAGATGGGAAAAAGGGTCTGGTAATCACGTATTCCGGCGATTGTAATTATTGAATTGATTGCCCTTTGTTTCTGAATTTAAATCAATTATGAATATAATTAATGGGTGGCGGTGGTGGAGCGATTGCGGCCCTTCTCTCCCGATGTAGTTTGCGAAGGGTGCAAAGTAGCGTAGAGAAAAGTTAGTTAGGGTCCCTGATAAATCGACGTTTTCCCCCCCGAAAAGTCTGGATAAAAAATTGTTAGAGCCCTCCTCTCTTGTATAATCTGTTATGTTTTATATAGTTGCCTGAATCGACGATGAAAGAGATAGAAGAGAGTTTACTTGGCGACGGGACAAATGGGGAAAAGTTTTAATGAAATCAGTTCGGAAACTCGTGTGCCGGCAGCAGCTCCCAAAACCAAGACCGAGCAGCACAAGACAGGCTAGAAAGAGGGTTGCTGCTGCTGCTGCTGGTGCTGTTGCAAAGGAATGAAGGAAGAATCTGGAACAGGGGATGAAGGCTTTTCACGCCGAAAATTCATGCACTGCATGTATGCATGCCCCGTCTACAAGTAAAGCCCGAAAAATGGATTACCCGCAAAGTTTGCCTTACTTAATGCTGCAGCAGCAGCAACCGCGAGAATTTCGTGCCGCTTCACCTATTATATTTGCAACATTGAATCATGTATACAAACATGAAAGACGTAATACGAAAGCGTCGTAAAGTCATTAAATTATATTATAACATCATAATACAATAAAATTAATATAAATAGAGCCAATTAAAATATCAATAAATTAAAGGAAATTTAACCAAGTGGGCAGTGACAGAAAATAAACGAATCACTTCAGATTCAGAGAATAAGGTTAAGTAATCCGTCAAATGTTGAAAGTAATTAATAACTACTTGATTATCAAATTTATAAAAATTAATTATTGACAAAAAAAAATCATTGAACTAATTTTAAAGATCAAAGTTTTAATTTATTTCATCAAACGTATCATATATCATTCATATATTGTTTTTTTTATTAGAATAAAACTGAAATTTAGATAAGATTTTCTTTAAGAAATGCACGAATCTATAATCTCTGGACAATACGAAGAAAATTGTTGAAATTCGTGGAAGGACGGCGCGGTCAAACTCGTCATTCTAACATTAATTTATGTGGGCAATAAACAATTATTACTTCTGCTTAAAGATGGAAACAAGATTTTGCCACCTGTATCATAAAATCACGGTAAAAGTGAGAAAGTTATGAATTTTCAATTGATTATAAAAAAAAAAAGAAGATTATTATTATGGAAATGTGTATAGGAAATATGGTAAATTCCATAAAGAAAGAAACGTACGATTGTTGCATGCAAAGTGTAAAGTGAATAGGTAAATGGATGAAAATGGAAATGCAATAATTTGCAAGTTCGATAAGGGGGGAAAACACAAAACTATTGAAAGCGCACTTGTTAGAATGCAAGAAAATAAGACCGCAGTAGAGCGAAGGAATAAAATGTAAAAGTTGTAATATTTATTATTAGTATTATTTTACAATCTTTATTGGTCTATTTTGGGCGAAAGAGAACGCTTCATATTTCTAAATGTCTCTTATACGCTCATTGAGAAGTTTGCAAGTTGCGAAGATGGGATGAATGTAGATGAAACAAGATGTGGTCGAGCCGTAGAGAGAGATCTCTCTCTCTCTCTCATCTCGATGGAATATTCAATGTAACAGATGGAGCCACTTGTAAATATGTATTCAGAAATCGAAATATGTTATGCATTCGGGCCGACCGCAACCGCACCGCACCCGCACGCGTAGCCGTAACAGACGTGTATAAACAACAGCAACAACAGCAATGCATTTCTCATGCGGTGCGGCGGCGTTTGCTTCCTGAAACTTAAAGATGGTCTCGGGGTCAGCAGCAGCAGTAGTCCATTGTCAGATTATGCAAGCTCGAGTTTGGAGCGAAGGGATGGGCGTCGGACGTCGGTGGCGTCGCGACGCCTTCGTCGCCGTGGTCGTCGGAGGCGGCGGTGATAAATCTTGGTGGCGGTTCGTGTGTTACGTGCGGTGACATTGCGTCAGCTGCGACTCAACCGGCAATCGCTCATTCCATCGCGCTTCGAAATCATCATCCATCCCACTACCCGCATTGTTGTGTTCGCCAGCAGAACGAAGATACTGTCCTCCACCCCCCACCCCCTGTGCACAGGGACGTATCACGCCCAAAATAATTATAACAATCCCAGAGATGAAAATAAAGTTACTTGTATGGAATTATAATAATTCCAAAGAGAAAGAAACGCAAAATTAGGTGATAAATCTTGCAATTGCAAGGGAATTCGTCAAGTACATTCCTCTGGTTACGTCCCTGATGTAGTTGGAGCCCTTGGCTTCTTTCGGTGTCATTAATATAAATTACGCCATCTGCGAGAACGGGCGACAAACAAAACTTGATACGCAATAAAAACAAAAATGGCTGAAGTCGAAGAATAAGAAGAAGAAGTACATAAGGAGAAGGGGGCGGTAAGGGGAAGTGTTGTATGGAGAAGAGAAGAAGGCGATAACCGAGATTGCTTTTATTATCTAGTTTTCATTGCCGCCCGTCGAGCCATCAGCGACAACTTCTTTCTTTTTTCGTCTTCTCTTCTCGTTCTTCTCTCGCATGGGGCGGAGGCTTTTAGCTTTGGGCCATTACGGCTGGTCCATCCGCGCCCCTCAAGACCACCATCAACAGCTATTAAAGCGCGACCTTCCACAGAACATTGAAGGCACTAATTGAATTACGGCAAATTTATCGCCGCCCCAGAAACACTTCGATTTACCACTAATGCTCTACTTACTTCTTCTTCTTTTTTTTTTAACACTCAGCTGAAAGAATCACTTCGATAACTAATTTCGAATTGCTAATATTCATGCTTATTTCACATAGTCGGTTAGAGATGAGCGTTGTAAATGTACGCGTAATAAATGTACGCTATTTTCCGGCCTGAGACAAGAATAATAAATTAATCTCGCAAATTTAGTGTTCTGGAGATAATCAAATTTCAAACGGAAATTTCGTCTTAAGCGAACGGAAGTTTCTTTGCTCGCAACAGACGGAAGCATATTCATCTTATCTTTCGCCCACATTACTGCGGATCCCATCCCTCGAGCTTCGTTCCTTCCCATCATCTCAATGTGATATTTTAATGTTACATTTTATTAGTATTAGTTTATTCAGCAAATTTAATATTTATACATATTAAATTGAAAAAAAAAATATAAATATTTCTTTTTTATCATAATATATTGGACGTCCTTTCGCTTCATTTGTTAACGTAACTGAGGGATTTATGTTGGGGACTCCCAAAAGAAACTTTTTCTATGCTTATCTAAACGTGATGGATGAAAATGTTTTATCTAAAAATGTCTTCCTTCGTCTTATATAAATTTAACATTATATATTGCTAGTAAAGATTTTTATAAAACTTTCTTAAAATCAACTCTAAACGTATGTAGAAACAGTGAAACTACTAAAGCTTAAAGAAAAAAACAAAAACATTTACTGTACTATAAATACAATAACACTTAAGTTTAAATAAATATCGAGATGCGTAATCTTAAGCCCTTTTTTTACGATTATTACGCCTACTTAACTTAGGAAATCGTAAATAGGATTTTATCTGACCAGCAAATATCTGGGTCAAGTCGTTAGTGTAAACGTGATTAAAATAAAAATGAGAGTAGTCAACGATTTCTTTGTAAAAGTTTTCTTTTTCACGAAACTACGTTCAGCGTTTAAGGATTCAAGTGTATTCCGCGAAATAACGCAAAGTATCCTTTTAAAAACTAAATTCAAAAGTTTGTCTGATATGTTCATTGATCAAATTTATTGATTGTATCATTTCCTAACCCTTCATGGTATCATGACATTTGACGTATGTCACAATTGACGTAATTACCGCAAAATGGCGGTGGCTTTTGAACATCGACATTTTGATTTCGAAAACATTCGTTTGTTTTTCGGGTTTTCCATTCAATTAAACGAACAAAAAAAAAGCGAACGCATAAAAACTTTTCGCGTAATCTATTTTGTATTTGCGATCAAAAATATATATATATAAAAAAAAAGAGTTATGCGCTAGGTTTTGTGACAGGTATGCATGTGTCGGGGAGATTTAGTCGCGCCATTTCCACCTGGACACGGTCTATTTGATAAAGCCCGTGTTCAATTAACGCTGGTCCGATTGACCGATTATCGGTTTTATTTGTGCGCGTTTGGCTGTACCCTCGTGCATAGCCGGCGGAAACGTTCCAACAGTTCGAACACCGTTCTTTCTTTTCGTTTTTATTTTTTGAATTTTTATTTTTTGTTAAAAACGATAAAGAAAAAATAAACAAAACGGTCTATTCCAGCCAAACCCGAAACCAATCTAATCCTACATTACACATGCTCAGTCCTCAACTTTTTTTTTTTCATCTTTCTTTCTTCCACGTCCTACTTTATGTGTCGCTCTCTGCCGACGCTGCTAATCTCTATTTTATTGAATCTCTGGAAAAGACGTATTTTATATAAGAGATTCGACCGCAAAGCTTCCTCTATTCATGTTATTAAACTCGGCAGATTTACACTGTAACTTATAGCTTAACGTACATCATTTTAACATATGTTCAATAATAACACCTACATGATTGTTCACGATCCACTAGGATACAAATATCCGATACATAACGATGTTCGTCGGATCATTTGATTTGAGACGTTTCAAATGTACATCAAAATTTGTGTAAGCATCTGTCTTCGTAATTAATAAACAAATTATGCGCACAGTATTAGTTATTAGTAAGCTGAAACTGTCTTCCTTTCGCGTTTTAATTGGATCGTCGACTAGGTTATACCACTTCTGCAATTTGATCTTTATCGAGAATTTACGTTAATTAACATGGAAAATCGCAATTGGGCCAATTATTATTATTTGCAAATAAAATAGTAAACTAGTAGCAGTTTACATTTAAATTAAATAGGGGATGAATGTTTGTTTTGCCATGACAATAGGGAAAAATAAAAGAGATAAATTCAATTTTTTAAGCTAGCAACAACAATAACAACAACAATAGCACGCTTCGATTCGAAGGCTTCCACAACCAACAATTACAAGTAATGTAGATTAAATAAACAGTCTACTGCATTTCAAATCATTAACGTCATTGTAAATGTACATTTAATTTGAAAAGGAAAATAAATAAATAAAACTGAATTAGAATATTTGGCAAATGGAAATCTCTATCATCTCCATCTATCTCGAAAGCGATGACCGTATAATAATGGCGATATGCGGAAAACCGGAAAAGTTTTCCGAATTCCGTTTTTGGGTTTTCCATTTCAAAGGACACCGAGTATTCGGGATTGTCGTAAAAGCGAACGGCGCGCATCTCGGATGGCCGATATAACGTTAAGGATCGATTCTTAACTTTAACACTCATAAGACCGTATCCGCTGCATGTTCTCGTTTCAAAATGAATGAATGAATGAATGAATGAGAGACGGGGTGAATGGGATTTAGGGTGCTCATTGTCCGAAGATACTGGTGCATGTACAAATAGCAACGATAACTAAATATAATACGACCGAAACCGATCAATTTCGAGTTGATTGCATCCAGCGAAATGATTAATATTAGTTACAATGCAACAAGAACTAATGGTAATGAAATATACAAATGTGTTTATTGATTTTCTCAGAAACTTTAATAGATAGAACTAATTCAAAATATGAAAAGAAACAGTCAATAATAATGTAAGAATAAAAATGTAATGTATTACGAGTTCAATTAACAAATCCATTCAAGATAAACTTTGTTCGTTATACAACCACTTAGTCCTGCATTCTGCATTAAAGCAGAGTGTTTATCTTCCTGTGAGATGTCAGAGGCAGCGCGGCGGACAAATTGCATCGCGATATCAAAGCGAAACACGCCAGAAAAGCACGAACAAATCTCTCGCGTTAAAATAATGCAATTCAAGTAATGCGTTTCCATGATTGATTGTCATGATTTTTTTGAAGCGTAATCATAATTAATAATTTTTATCTTCTGTCTATTTGAAAACACTGATTTATTGATGTAATTGAAATAAATAGTGGTCAATGGGAAAATACCTTCTTTTTTTTTTGCAAAAATCTTTTGTTAGGTTTGGGGATGAGTGTGTGCGGCTTGCGGAGAATTGATTAAATTTAAACGAGCTTTGGACGTAATACATATGTGCATGTTTGTGACGGTTTCATCGTATTTCAGATTGGGATTGAAGTGGTGAACGGGTGAGAGGCGAGGTTAAGGTTCAGGTTTTAGGAATGGTCGAGTTAGGTTTAGGTGTTTTCACACCTTCTCCCATAAGGCAGGTGCATAAAAAAGAGGTACTCACCGACGACGCTGAGTGTCATCAGGATGCCGATAGGTGGCGTCGTGCCAACCTGGCACTCGTAGATTCCGGTATCTCTGCGCTGCGGATACCTGACTTGCAGTGTCCAATCCTCAGTCATAGCGTTGTGGATGCTTGCGAACCTCTGATCAGACGTGTACGTGAATCTACCTACGGTCAGTAGATGCAGATCACGATGTCGGATCCAAGTCACCTGCAAAACAAAACAAACAAACAAACAAACATTGTTAAAACAAACTCAAATCAAGGATTCATAATACTGTATTTAACACGAACGAAAATCTCGACGGAACAACATAATAAGCCAAGTTAATTAATTATGCGTCTCCGGAATAACTGTGTATCGCTTGGATGGATGATGATCCGCGTCGCGGAGAGCCGATAATGAAGAGTGTGTCATGTACGTTTGCCAAAAGGCGGCGAGGACCATTAATCACCGATACGAAAATCAATCATCGGCGCGGGTTGAAGGATATACCATAACATAAATAATAAAGAAAAAAAAACACTTATTTGTTCCAGCCAAAGATGCAAAGTCACGCGTCGTAATGGTGCGATGAGGAGTGGCGGGGGAGGTGTGAGAGAGACGAGAACCTCAATTTTCTACGTGAACTGTGCATTTCGCCCGGCGCATCCGCAATTCATTCAGTTTATGAACGAGTTTATTATCACCATTAGCAAATGTGAACAAAGGTTGCATAAGTTAAATTTGTTTGACAAATGAAAATCTCACGTTTCCAACGAGCCCACTGACATATCTGTGCTGTCATCCATCCGTCACCTAAGAGCTGTCAAACATGTGAATGCTGAAAATGCGCCATCTTAACTTTTCATTTAATTACACGATGATCACGCAGGCGAGTTACATAATTTAATATAAAATTACAGTTAATGATTATGTCAAAAAATAAATAAATAAAACAAATGCTGCCAAAATAAATATTGAAATAGAAAAAACGTGTTATTATCATTTTGGCAACATTATCGCATGAAGTTAGCTTTCCTATTAGGTAACGCCAGTTCTGATAATTGTATTAATTTTACATAATTTAATTGTTTTATTACTTATCTCTGTATAAATATTTGTATAATTCCGTAAATGCATATTGATTAGAGAAGTGAAAATTGAGGATCGATTTTTATGTAAAGTGAATGCTGTCGTTTTTAAGGTTTTCCTAGACGATCGACGTTTATTATAATGGCTCATAAAAATTGTCGGTTGCGATTACGTCGTGAAGCGTGATTCTCTTATAGGATGGGGAAGAAAAGAAGGGAAAAAGAGAAGCTGACGTTTGAACGTCACGTTTAGATCCGTTACGTCAGTAAAAATTAAAACCTATCAATTATGTTGCGTCGGATACGATACGTTTCATCGACTACAGACAGATACAGTTACGTGTATCAGCGAAATTCAATTAACTTCCAGCAAATAAAATAATAACAACAACAACAACAAAAATACAATGGAAACATAATTTGATATATCTGGAATACAATTACATTTTGCTAACGACTCTTCAATTCCGATTTGATCTACAAATGTCATCATCAAAAGCCAAAGCATCCGATACGTTTCGTTTGAAAATCTCACATTCCCGACAGCTTCGTGCTGTCATCCTTCCGTCAGCTGTCAAAAACGTCAATGCTGAAAATGCGCCATCTTAACGTTTCATTTAATTACACGATAATCACGCAAGCGAGTTACATAATTTAAAACAGATTTGTAAAGTTATAAATCGCACATTTGATGTATGGCTTCAAAAAAAAAATAAATAAAATAAATAAATAAATAAAAAGGGAGAGCAAAATATTAATGAACAAAATTGGATATTCATCAAATCTCATCGATTTTGTTTTGTTGCGCAACATAAAAGAGACATCTCGTTTGTTTGTTTTTTTTTTCATTTTTTTTTCGGTGGTCCGCTTATCGTTCATATTTCTTCTTTGTACAATTTTTTCGCCAGTTACATTGAATGTAAATCAATCGCAGCAATTATTTCAATGAAAAAATAAATAAATCAATTTCATCTGCCATCGACAGCCACGGCCGCGAAATACCCATTATGCAACCAATCCAACGCCAGCCCTATTATACTCTGCCCTTCGCAAAATACTTTTTCTTTTTTTTTATAATATATTTTTGTTTGTTTGCTCCCTTTGTGCATCTCCGATTTTTCAACTCAAAAAATGTGTACAAACACATTCTTCATTTTCATCATTTGATATATACTCAATGTTGATGTTTTCTCTTATTTTTCTTCATCTTTTCCCTCTGTCCGGTGCATTATTATCATCATCATCGTCCATTGTGTTTAAAGAAAAAAAAACGCGACATCAAAGCTCCACTATTGAAGAAGAAGAATAAGGCGGCTCCACTGGCATTACAATGCTGCAAATTACTTTCTTCTGCCTTTTCAACTAATGTTAATTACTTTTTTTTTTATATAAAAAAGAAGTAATATCATTGAAATTCCATTACTCTAATTAAATTACTATAAAATATATTTATAATTTTTCAACTTAATTTAGTAATAGTTCTGTTGTTGTTAATATAATTCTGTTGTCCGTTTTTTCTTATTACATTTTTGCTTGTAATTTTATATATATTTTTTTTTAATTACCGGCTTGGCTCTTGCGCAAATAATTAATCCATTTTTATTTTTTTTTATTTCCTACAAGAAGAATCTGGGTCAAGCGGTCGTAGATACTTCGGCATTGCAGCGTTCGGCTTTCTCTTCAAGCGTGTATGTTACAGCAATAGAGAGAGAGAGAGAGAGACAGAGAGAGAGAAAGATATATGGGCGAGGCGTGAGTGCGAGCGAGAGGATTTTGGGTGAAATAGTGTCGAAATAAGCTGGAGAAATACAGGAGCTTCGCTGTAATCAGACACTAAATACGGGCGTAACTTGCGTTTAATATATTTTTGCAGTATTTTTTTTTTCGTATTCTGAAACTAAATACCTCGAGACTGCGTTTCTCGACCTACTTGGATCGCGTTTTTAAGGCGTTGCAGAATGACAGCTGTCATTACTGTCAATGCTGTAAACAGTTGTGCGTCGCCAAATGACAGCTGTCACTTTGTGTTGAAGGTGAAATTATTCAAACACGCCTTGAGTGTAATATTTATTTGATGGCAGCAAAAGAGTATTGATTGAAAATGATTTCACCTCTACTATTTTTGTTTTTGTTTCGTTATATTGAACGGACGATATTTCTTTGGATAACATCGGTTTGTTGCAACTATCCCATCAGTTCCATGTAGTATACAAACAACAGTCGGTCCGAGATCCGGCTTTTAACTTCTTGCAGATAAGAACTCCGGCATCCGGATGTGACGCTAAGGAAACTGCCACATTCACACGGATTGCACGAACTAAATCATAGTAGACCTCGCATCTCCTGCAACTGTTTCCATATACATATATGATTAAATACACACACACGTATTGAATCTATTTCCTGTGGGTTCTCTTATCTCACGCAATCAGAAAAAGGCTTAAACATTTAAACAAATTAATAAATATCAAACAATCAAGTTCCGATTTACTTCCATTTAATATGTATTTAGAACTGTGAATATTTCAAAGAATTTTTTACTTTAGCTATTGGCGTTCGCAAATTAAATTTTCTAAAGGATGATACTCCTCAAGTTTAGAATTTAATTTGCCAACTCCACGTAATTAAATTTCATAAAAAAAAACTCTTAGCTTTTTTTATAGTCAATGGTATACAATATCAAAGGAACTGTCAATATTTAAATAAGCAAATATTGATTAGCATCTCTTGGATAAATTTCTATGAAAACCTAAGATAATTGTGCTATAATGTTTATAAAACTATGTAAAAAAAAGTTCCGTATCACTATAACAGCAGTAATTTTGGTTTTATAATATATGAATCAATTTGATTTACTTAAGTGTACATATTATTGTTTTGGAAGTGATACCAATATCAAGAATTTAAAAAGTGATAAACATTTACTATTTTGGGGAAATATTTTGTTTTGGTGATGGCACTAAAATGAAATATATAATATGGCTGTTTTCATGTGCGGGGGTGGATCTTAATTATAGTTTTTTTTTATATTTAAATATTTATTTTGGCAATATTGACATGTGAAGTTTGCCATTATTTAATTCTTTGACATATGTCAAATGGTAGAATGAAAGTTTTGAAAAACAAAGACAGTTACTTTATTTATTTAGTTTGTAGATGCGAAACGCAAAGTCCTTTATGAAAAATTCGTACGAAATAAATAATTCATCAAAAAATTTATTAAAGTGTACATATTATTGTTTAGGAAGTGATACAATATGAGCAACTAATATCAAGATTTCAATTTACTATTTTGGGGAAATATTTTTTGTTTGTTTTTGTGTTGGCACTAAGATTAAATATATAAAATAGCTGTGTTCATGTGAGGGGGTGGATCTTAATTGTAGTTTTTATTTATTTAAATATTTATTTTGGCAATATTGACATGTGAAGTTTGCCATTATTTAATTCTTTGACATTTGTCAAATGGTAGAACGAAAATTTTGAAAAACAAAGACAGTTAGTTCATTTGTTTAGTTCGTAGATGCGAAACGCAAAGTCCTTTATGAAAAATTCGTACGAAATAAATAATTCATCAAAAAAGAAAAAAGTGCATTAAGTGTTTTCGCACATTGGAAACTATATAGTTAACAGCCTGTAAAACGAACGATGTTTGCTTAAGTGAGACGACGAAACCCAAACATCTCTAGGGCCCAATTCACACGCGCACACACATAACATAACGGGAACGACATTCGTTTCGAAATTAATTCATAACCGGAGATGCGCGCTCTCGGTGAATTCGAGGAAATTTTCTATGTGGATGGATCTGATGGATTTATTTGTAACAAAAGGGCTGCTGTCGGTAGTTGGAAAGCCTCATTATTCCGTTAATTGATAATTTAACTTTGGCCGAATATAGAATGGGGACCGGATTGTTCGGCAATCTTCATCCACCCCCCATTTTCTGCGCCGCTAAAAGCAGCGTACACTTGAACCACCGTAAGAAGCTAAAGTGCAAAGTTACGAATGATGTATTTTCTCAATTAGCCCCCGAAAAGCGGAAGCCGCATAATGGTTTTTGGTTTTATAACGAGGAGAACACAAGCAGACGATCATATAATACCATAAAATGAAAAAAATAAAGCAGGAAGTGGA